GGGCGTGCGACCCCTCGTGAGCCAGCACGTGGGTGTGTGGTTTGAGCCTTCTGGAGAGACTGCGGTGTGTGTTGACGGAGACTCTTACCAGCCTCTTGCTACCTTTACTGCTGAGCCGGGCTCAGGTCTCTACACTCTTCACACTGGCCCGCGTGCGCCGCAGCAGCAGCAGCTGTCGCACCAGCAGCCGCCCCTACTGCCACTGCCCCCGGTTCCCCCCCCCGTTCGGGTCCCCGCGTCTCACCAGGTTGCTTCGTCCCCCCAGGTGTCTGTGTCGTGTCAGGTTCCTACGTCTGCTCCAGTCGCTGCGTCGTGCTCCTGCCGGTCGCTTGCCCACCCCACCGTTCTGTGGCACCACCGGATGGGGCACCCGTCCCTTCCTCGTCTGCGCGCTATGTCTAGTCAGCGTCTTGTCCTAGGCCTCCCACGTGTCTTGCCGTCGCTGCCGCCTTCGCTTGCGCCGCCGTGTCGTCCCTGCGTCGAGGGTCGGCTGCGCGCCGCCCCTCACTCCTCCTCCCTTCGTCCGGCCACCGAGCCTTTTGAGACGCTTCACTTGGACGTCTGGGGCCCCGCCCCTCGTCTAGGCCCTGAGCGTGAGCGCTACTTTCTGGTGGTCGTTGACGACTTCTCCCGCTACACCACAGTGTTCCCTCTGGCGAAGAAGTCTGAGGTGACTTCTACGCTGATCAGGTGGTTGCTCACCACCGAGGACACTCGTGATCGTCGTGTCAGCTGCCTCCACTCCGACCGTGGGGGTGAGTTTCGCTCCGGCATTCTCGCTGGATTCTGTCGCGAGCAGGGCATTCGTCAGTCCTGGACGCTTTCAGAGTCCCCACAGCAGAATGGGGTTGCTGAGCGCTGCATAGGCCTGGTCATGGAGATCGCCCGCACCTCCCCGACTCACGCCTGTGCCCCCCATTTTCTGTGGCCCTACGCGGTCAGGTACGCCGCGCACCAGCTGAACCTCTGGCCACGTGTCTCTCGACCAGAGGTTTCACCGACCAGTCTTTGGACAGGGTCCCCTGGTGTTGCGTCGCGGTTTCGTGTCTGGGGGTGCTTGGCTCTTGTCCGCGACACCTCCGCGGACAAGCTCTCGCCTCGTGCCGTCCCCTGTGTCTTCCTTTGTTTCCCTGAGGACTCCTCTGACTTCACCTTTTACCACCCTCCCTCTCACCGGTTCTTTGACTCCCGTGACGTCCGTTTCGAGGAGTCCACTCCGTACTACGTCAGGTACCCCAGTCGAGGTCTCCAGGTTCCTCCTCCCCCCCTCTTCCTGACTGCCGCTCCCCCTCCTCTTCCCCCGGTACAGCCTCCCCCCCCTGGTCCAGCCCCGTCGGGTGTGTCCCAGGCTACCCCTCCTCCTGGAGTTGGAGCTGGAGTTGGAGCTGGAGTTGGCACTGGAGTTTCTGGTTCTGGGGGTGCTGGGGTTGGAGCTGGAGTTGGAGCTGGAGTTTCTGGTTCTAGAGTTGGAGCTGACCCGGTGGGTGCAGAGGACTCTTGTCGTCCGGGAGCTGGTGCTGGTCGCGCGGACACTGGGGGTGAGAGTGCGCCTCCTTCGGGTTCTGGTGAGCCTGGGTCTGGAGCTGGTGTTAGTGCTGCCTCTGGGGGTGGTGCGCCTGGTTCTTCGGGGGTGGACTCTGGAGCTACCGCTGCTTCGAACACTACTCCGCCCCCCCACCCCTACTCGACTAGGCATCAGGTACGTGTTCGCCGTGCCCGTGACGAGCAGCTGGCGTTGGAGAGAGAGGAGAGGGAGTTACAGCGGCTGGAGGAGCAGCAGCAGCAGCTGGAGCCGCAGGAGCAGCAGCAGCAGCAGCAGCAGCTGGACCTGCAGGAGCAGCAGTCCCAGCAGCAGCCGCTTCCGCAGCAGCAGCAGTCGCAGCAGCAGCCACTTCCTCCTCCTGTCTCGGGTCTTCGGACCCTTGGTCTCCCCTCCCCTTCTCCTCCCTCCTCCGCCTCTCCTCCTGTCTACGGTCCCACGTTTCCTCCTCCTGACTCCTCCCCCGCTGTTTTCCCCAGTTCTCCGCCTTTGTCCTCTCCTCCTCCGTCTCGTTCTTGGGCTACTCGTCGCTCCCCTCGTGCTCGTCCCTCGTCTCCTGTTCCCTTCACTGACCTTCGTACTGCCTTCCTTCTTTCTAGTCCACCTCGTCCGTCTCAGTCTGTGCTTCCGTCTCCTCCTGAGTCGGCCCTCACTGTGTCGCTCCCTACTCCTGTCACTGACTACTACCGCACGTACCGTCCTGTTCTCTCTCGTGTTCTCGCCTCTCTTGTTACTCACCCTCGTGCCTCTGTGTCCTCTGTGTCCGCTCTTACTGCCGCAGTTACTGACTTTGCCTCTACCCGCCGCCTTGACTACGCCACCACGCTTGTGGCTGCTCCTCCTACCAGTCCTCTGGCCGTCGGGGGTGTGTCTGCCCTTGGTTGTGACGCCCTAGAGGACAGGCAGTTTGAGCTAGAGTTCCTGGCGGCCGCTTCCCCTCATCTCTGTGCCATGCTCCTCGCCCCTGAGGGTGACCCCGACGCCCTTGACATTCCGACTCCTCGCACTTACGCTGAGGCAGTGTCAGGGCCTTGGGCCTCTCAGTGGAGAGCTGCCATGGACGCAGAGATGGCCTCCTACAGATCCACAGGCACCTACGTCGATGAGGTTCCCCCCCCTGGGGCGAACGTAGTCGACGGCATGTGGATCTACAGGGTGAAGCGGCCACCGGGATCTCCCCCGGTCTTCAAGGCGCGCTACGTGGCTAGAGGTTTCAGTCAGCGCGAGGGAGTTGACTTCTTTCAGACCTTCGCACCTACCCCGAAGATGACCACTCTTCGGGTGTTACTACACGTAGCAGCACAGAGAGACTACGAGTTACACTCTCTCGACTTCTCCACTGCTTTCCTTTAGGGCAGCCTACACGAGGAGGTCTGGTTGCGTTGTCCCTCGGCCTTCACTGGCACCTTCCCTCCTGGGACCCAGTGGAGGCTGAGGCGACCTGTTTACGGTCTTTGCCAGGCCCCTCGTGAGTGGCACGACACTCTGCGTTCTACCCTCTCTGACCTTGGGTTCCAGCCGTCTTCTGCCGACCCGTCGCTGTTCGTTCGTCGTGGCTCCACACCGTTCTTTGTTCTGGTTTACGTCGACGACCTCGTTTTCGCCACTCCGGACAGGGTTGCTTTGGCAGACGTGAAGTCCGAACTGCAGAAGAGACACACGTGCACTGATCTTGGTGAGCTGCGCCACTACCTTGGCCTGCAGATCACCAGGGACAGAGCCGCTCGCACCATTACACTCTCACAGTCATATATGGTGCAGCAGGTCCTTCAGCGGTTCGGGCTTCAGCACTCCACCGTACAGCGCACACCTCTCGCTGTTGACCACAGACTCACTGGTCCCTTTCCTGACGAGCCGTTTGAGCCTAGTGGTCCCTACGCAGAGCTTGTGGGTTGCCTCATGTACCTGATGACTTGTACTCGCCCGGACCTCGCCTTCCCTCTCAGCATCCTTGCGCGCTTTGTTGCGCGAGGGAGACACCGTCCTGTTCACTGGACGGCAGCTGTGAGGGTGGCGAAGTACCTAGCGACTACATCAGGCGTGGGGCTAGTTCTTGGAGGGCAGCAGTCTGTCGTACTCACTGGTCACTGTGAATCCTCTTACGCTGACGACGCTGAGACTCACAGGTCTACTCAGGGGTACTGTTTCAGTCTAGGTTCTGGAGCTGTTTCCTGGCGTTCCACGCGCTCCTCTTCTGTCTCGACCTCTACAGCTGAGGCTGAGATTTACGCTGGTGCCATGGCGGCACAGGAGTTGCGGTGGTTGACCTTCTTGCTCGCCGACCTTGGTGAGCGGCCGAGCTCTGCACCGACCTTGTTCACTGACAACAAGGCGTCGATCCTCTTCTGTCGTGAGCCGCGACTGGAGAGCAGAGTGAAGCACATTCACGTCAGGTACTTTCTTCTGCGAGAGTTGCAGAGACGTGGACAGGCTCGCTTCGAGTTTGTGGAGTCCGAGGCCAACACTGCAGACATCTTCACCAAGGCGCTTCCGCCTCGTGACCACCAGAGGTGTTGTGTGCAGTTAGGCCTTATTGACACAGGTTCTAGTCATGTGTAGGCTTGAGTTTATTGCCTGCTTCGTCTGTACTCTTGCTATATATACTTGTGATCTCTTGGACTGGCCTTGTGGCCACTGTTGCTTGTGCTCAGAGAGTGTGGTGACGTTGTGATCCACCCTGAGCTTTGTTTTCTTTTGGACTGGTCTTGTGACCGTACTCTTTTTTATTTTGCTAGACACCCCTCACTTAGGCTATGGGGGTGTGTCAAATGTTGTAGCCTGTAGTGAGGTTTGTCTTAGGGGGTACAGAAGTTAGGGTTTGTTATATGTACCCCAACCAACATCAATGGCATCATCATTCCTCATTTTGACAGGAGTATACGGTATCTTCGGGCGAAGAAGGGAAGTAAACGGGCAGGAGATATGCTGGGGCCGGGGCAACGTTCCATCCTGGAACGGTTGGATCCGGACGAATTTCGTCTGGTAAGCAGAGTCTGTGACAGCTCGGCAAAATCGCTTGCGTGGACCAGTGGCTTCACCTCCATCTGGGCTAATCCGCGCACGATTTTCCATCCCCCTTAAGTTGTCAGGATGGGTACGATGACATGACAGGATGTCATCTAGGCCCATGAGCTACAGTTACGACTGTTAATGCTTGTATGCGCTGCTATAGTGTAACTTGCATTGCCAAAAAAAAACACACACACTTCTGTGCGAATTTGGCGCAAGGTTGCAATGCCTGTATTCGGGAGAGCAGTCATCGTAACTTCACCAAAACTCACATCAATCAACAACACAGGCAAAAATCCAGAGCACACACATATCCAGAACATAAGAGTGAAGGTGGGCCGACGACCTGGCAAAGCTGCGAGAAAAGGCGTTTCCTTGGACTCCAAGTCGGACTTGAGGCTGAAAGAGGTTAGACAATAGGGAGTCGAAGAACGAGGAAAAAAAACAAGTGCTACAAGGTATCACCAACGGATAGAACGATTGCGATGGGGAGAAAGAGGAATAACGGGATGGGAGGGGAGAGGAGAGCGAACGACGGGATGGGAGGGGAGAGGAGGCGAACGACGGGATGGGAGGGGAGAGGAGGCGAACGACGGGATGGGAGGGGAGAGGAGAGCGAACGACGGGATGGGAGGGGAGAGGAGGCGAACGACGGGATGGGAGGGGAGAGGAGGCGTACGACGGGATGGGAGGGGAGAGGAGGCGTACGACGGGATGGGAGGGGAGAGGAGGCGATCGACGGGATGGGAGGGGAGAGGAGGCGATCGACGGGATGGAAGGGGAGATGAGGCGATCGACGGGATGGGAGGGGAGAGGAGGCGATCGACGGGATGGGAGGGGAAAGGAGGAACGTGAGCGATAGGAGATGAAGTGGGTGACGGTATAGGAGGGGAGATTGCAAGGGCGACGGGAGGGAGAGCGCGAAGGTGACGGGAGGGAGAGCGCTACGGCGACAGGATGGAAAGCGCAGGCGATGGGAGGGAAAGCGCGCAGGGAAGGAAAGCGCAAAGGCGGCGGGAGGGAAAGCGCGCATGCGACGTTTGTGAAAGAGCGCGAGGGTGACGGGAAAAATGAAGAGAGGGGAGGGAGGAAGGGCGGGGGGAGGGCGTTTCAGACCAAGAGCATAGGCGACGGTGTGTGATGGGAGGGGAGAGATGAAAGGCGATGGAAGGGGGCATTTCGGCGACGACAGCATGAGCGAGGGGAGAAAGAGAGGGCGACGAGGAGGGAGGAGAGGACCCGCGAAGGTGATGGGAGGGGAGCGGACAGCGGACGAACGACTGGAGGGAGGGGAGATGGCGAAGGCGCGATACAGGAAACTAGCACCTGTGGAAGGGTAACGATCGCATGCGGAATGGATTAAAATTACGACACTACGCTACGTAACAGTCTTACGCATTCCTGCAGGGTCGAGTAGTTACTTATCTTGGCCACAAACACCTATCGTTGTCAGCTAAATTAGGCTATGAATAAAACTAGCGACTTCGGGATGGAGAGTGTAAGGAATTTTGCTAATTCCTTACTGAGGCACCGCTTACGCGTACATTTCCAACTTTTCGGAGTTCAGGCTCGGTCTGACGACCTCGCCTCCCGAACGTCCTCCGCGTCGCCTTCGGGTTTTCCAAACCCAAACCTACACCCAACCCTCGCACGACTTCGCGACCTCGGGCTTAGCTAGCCTTGCTATATTATGCCTAGGCCCCGATGTTTGCTCAGTAGTTGTAATCACTTCCGCGATATTGCATTCTGCGCACTCTTCTTTCATACAACTCATAACACCTGGTATCAGAGCTACTTTCCTAGGTTACCCTCTGACAAAGTTTGAAGAAAGAAAGGGGAAATGAACTAGCAGAAATGGGGATACAAATAGCAAACCCTAGAAGGGTTGTACTCGCTATAGAGCACCCCACTACAGGCTAGAACATAAGAATAATATTCTGACACCCTCCACTTTCCGGGGTAGTTTAGTACGGGGGTGCAATAGGTTTGGTGGGCTGCAAAGCGGTCGGCTGAGAGATAGATACGATTATCTCGCTCCGACTAATAGCGTTTGCGCCTTCATCAAAACCAGAAAAATCGCTGTTAACCCCCTGCCCGTTAGACGAAGCCTACGACACATGGACCAGGCGGAGTTAAACGAGCTCATGCAACAGTTTCGGGCGCTGCAGGCCAACATGCAGACTATGTCTGGCGAGTTGGAGCGCCTGAGGGAGGAAAACGCCGAGCTACGCCAGACGCGAGGTGAAGCGCGTCAGGAGTCGCCCGCCGTGGATGAAGCAGGAAGCAGTTTCGTGCCTAACGACGAGGTCCTCAGCGAGCTACAGAACTCGCTGGACGCTGAAGAAGAGCGGACAGCACGAATGCAACGAGCACAAGGGACGCAGGAGCAACAGTCACAGCCGAGGCAACAGTCGCAGACGACGCCACGACAGGCACCAGCGACAACCCCGGTGATGGCTTCAATGGCGCCCCCGATGCATGCAGCAGCAACAGTCTCAACAACTGTTAAAATAAAACCGACGAACCCGCCCCCGTTCAACCCCAGCGACAAAGCCGTCACTGTGTCAGCTTGGTTGTTCGGTGTAGAGGTGTTTTTCAATGCTGCGCAAATTGCTGACGATGCTACCCGCATTAATTTTGCAGTGTCACTATTGCGAGGACCGGCGTTGGAATGGTGGAAGCGGACTCTTCAGCCAGAGGGGGCTCCGGCAGGGATATCACGTGCGAACGACGGGACCTGGGCAGCTGTCACGCAACAGACAACTTCAATCTTCGGAGTGGCCACGATACGCACATGGACGGAGTGGGGCGCCGCGCTGCGAAGCAGATTCGAGCATGTATCCGCCTCGGATTCTGCTCGCATGAAGCTGCGTACCTGGAAGCAGGTGGCGTCGGTCCAAGATTACACGGCGACATTCTGCAATTTGGCTGACCAAGTGGACGATATGAGCGACGCGGAACGACTCGACCGAACATCGCAGGCTTCAAGTACAACGTACAGTACGAGGTGCGACGGGCGAGGCCATGCGTATTTATCGAAGCCGTCCAAGTGGCCGAATCGACGGATGCGCTGATGCAATGGGCGAGAATGAGTTCCCGGGAGGGCACTCAATTTCGTGGACCGCCGCGCCAGCCCACAATCAACGGGGTGGATGCACCGAGGCGGGGAAACAACAACTGCTTCAGCTGCAACCAACCGGGCCACTGGAAGAAGGACTGCCCGAAGCTGAAACAGGGAAACAGGAACGACGGAGAGGGGTCGGGAAAAGAAACGAGTCAGTAGCAGTCGGGCCACCTACTGACGAGACCCCGTCGCCCGGCAATCAACATCCACACCGAGTAGTGGTACCGATACGGGCTATTGACCGCAACCGGACGAATAAGGTGGATGAACACGTGGATCACCCTGTGCTGGTCGTGGGGAGGGTTAACGGGCATAAAATAAAATTATTCCTCGACGGTGGGGCGAGCCACAGTCTCGTCAACCTGGCGATGGCCAAAAAAATCGGAGTCAAGCTGGACAGGTGTCTACCAGAGATTGATGCGCGATTGGTGGACGGAACACCGCTGGCGATCAAGGACGAGGTCCGACAAATTCGGATGAAGTGTAGCGACGATTTCGGGTTCTCCATGCGAATGCTGGCGACAACACTGGACGGTTGCGATGTGCTGCTCGGAAGGGATTGGCTGCAGCGTTTCAATCCGACCATCGACTGGACGATGGGAGCGATCACGGTGCTGTGCAACAAGGGGCGCGTGACACTTCCGAAATGGGCGGAGCCGGAGCCGACGACAACACGTGTCAACGCGATAACGCTGAAGAGGGCGATAAAACGGGGAGCGCAAGGCTACGCCGTACAGCTGTACGAGGTGGTGGCTTCCGAAAAAATCGCCGACATTGACACGCTCTGCGCTGCTGTACCCGACGACGTGGCGAGCATAATTCGGAGGTACCCCGAAATATTCGCAGATGACCTACCTGATGGGCTGCCACCTCAGCGTCCGGAAGGCCACAGGATTGAGCTGGAACCAGGCGCGAAACCAACCGTTCGGTCCCAATGGCGGCTCAGCCAACCGGAGCTCGACGAATTGCAGAAACAGCTGGATTATCTGCTTTCTAAGGGTTTTATCCGGCCGAGCACGTCGCCGTACACCGCCACGATACTATTCACACCGAAGAAGGACGGAGGCCTGCGCATGTGCATCGACTATCGAGCGTTGAATCGGGTCACAATCAAGTCGCGTTACCCGATCCCACGAGCAGACGACCTGCTGGATCAACTTCGCGGGGCTCGTTTCTTCTCGAAAATCGATTTGCGAGGTGGCTACCATCAAATTCGTGTGTTCGCCGACGACTGCCCGAAGACCGCATTCCACACCCGCTACGGCAGTTATGAGTACACCGTGATGCCGTTCGGGCTGACGAACGCACCCTCGACTTTCCAGCTCACTATGAATGGAGTGTTTCGGGACATGTTGGATAAAAAAGTTATTGTTTACCTGGACGACATCCTGGTGTACAGCAAGACTCGGGAGCAGCATTTACAGGACTTAGACGAAGTGTTCCGACGCTTGCAGCAGAACCGGCTGATTACGAAGGGCTCTAAGTGCGAGTTCTTACGGTCAGAGCTGGAGTTTCTGGGGCACGTTGTCTCTGGGGAAGGCATTAAAATCGACCCTCAAAAAGTAAAAGCGATTTTGGAGTGGAAGCCGCCCACGAACATCACTGAGTTGCAGAGTTTCCTCGGCTTCGTTAACTACGTCCGCCGTTTTGTACCCAATATGGCGGGGGTAACCAGGCCGTTAACCGATCTCCTGCATAAGGGCGTGCAGTTTTTTTGGGGGGAGAGAGAACAGCTGGCTTTCAACGAGCTGAAGAAAATTTTGAGTTCACCCCCGGTGCTTCGACTGGCAGATCCATCTCGACCATTCGAAGTCGTGACGGACGCCAGCGATTTCGCTGTCGGCGCTGTGCTATTACAGGACTTCGGCAACGGACTGCAACCCATCGCGTACGAGTCAAGAAAAATGCAGCCGCCCGAGCGCAACTACCCGGTTCACGACAAGGAAATGCTCGCCATCGTGCATGCGTTTCGAACATGGCGATGCTACCTCACGGGAGCGGATGTCACAATCCGAACTGACCACAAGTCACTACAGTACATGCGCAGCCAACCACAGCTCAACCCACGACAAATCCGGAGGCTCGACTACCTCGAATCAAATTTCCGCTACACCATCACATAGAAAAAGGGCGCCAACAACATCGCCGACGCTCTGACCCGCCCATCCATGCAGACCGCAGCAGTACTAATCGCCCATTCCAACCCTTTATTGGCAGGATTATTCAAGCACGGCTACAGGATCGACAGATTTTTCAGGACCAATCAACACCGCGGGGTCACTACACCGCATGGAAGTTACTACCTAAAAGTCGGTACTAACCGAGTTTGGGTACCTTCCTACCGACCCTTACGCGAATTACTGACGCAAGAAGTACACGACTCCAACCTCTCCGGGCATTTCGGCGTCGACAAAACATTGAAGCTGCTGCAGCGGAACTACTACTGGCCCGACATGGCGTCGGACGTGCAGCGCTATGTGTCCGCCTGCCCGACCTGCCAGGCAATGAAGTCATCACGACAACGACCAGCTGGCTTACTGCAGCCCCTCGAGCCACCCGAACGACCGTGGCAACAGGTGACTATGGATTTCGTCACGGGCCTTCCAGCTGGCGCAAGTGGCAACGACTCCGTGCTCGTCGTCGTTGATCGCTTAACGAAAATGGCGCATTTTGCGCCCTGCGGTACAACGATCACAGCCGAAGAAACAGCGCGACTCTTCATCTCGACCGTCGTACGCCTCCACGGGTTACCTTCGGCGATCATCAGCGATCGAGATCCGAAATTCACGTCGAAATTCTGGCAGGAGACATGGGCACAGTACGGCACCCGCCTGCAATTTTCGTCGTCCTACCACCCGCAAACCGACGGACAGACGGAGAGGACAAACCAAACGATGGAGCAGCTGATTCGCACGAACTGCCCGGACATCACCAAGTGGGAAGATTACCTTCCCATGCTCGAGTTTGCGTACAATAACGCCCCATCTGCAACGACCAAGCAATCACCCTTCTACCTGACTTACGGGATAGACCCGGTGGTACCCTCATCGACAACTCCCGACAACCCGGTACCCAGGTCACAGCAGTTTATTTCGGAACTCCAGGATGCGCGTGCCAAAGCAGCTGACTTTATCCGAAAGGCGAATTCGACCGCCAGCCGCTACGCTGACCAACACCGACGAAATTTACCCTTCCGCGAGGGGCAGATGGTTCTCCTGGACACCAAAAACCTCAGACTGCCCCAACCCGCAAAACTGCGTCCTCGATACGTGGGA